CCAACTGAACTCCAATGGAAATTTTTTTTCTTCACTTTTTGTAGCGCCCAAAATTGATATTGATAGTTTGTTATTGTCATCAAGAACCCAAAACCTGAAACTCTGATATCAATTTGTTAGATCTAGTCCTAGAAAATTGACCAGCGAAAATAATATGATTCTTGGAAACCCAATAAAGACAATAACCAACTAAATAAATCAAATAGAGAGACAAAGAATTTTATGTGGTTCGGTCGAATTGACTTATGTCCATGGACGAAGGGATAGTAGATTTATTACAACAGAAAAAGAGTACAAAACCTAGGAAATAATTTCAAGGCCCAAAAGGCACCTAAAATTGAAAACACAAAAGAGATTAAATAACATAAATTGCTTAATGGTCCAAAAACCCATAATATGCTCTTTTGGTTTAATACCTAACCAAAACTCCTCTTAAATGGCCCCCTAAAACTCTCTTAAACTGGTGCATATGGTACTTGAACTGGTACCCTTAGCACCCATAAACCTATTTAAGCCCACTATATTTATAACCACAAAGAGGAAATGTTTTTTTTTTTTTTTGTAAAACTTTCGATGTGAGATACAAATACAAACTCAACATATGTTTTCGTAGTTGTATCATTTCACCTATGCAACTGTAATAACACTTGTTGTGAATAAATTGTTGATTTGAAAAATTACTTGATGAACTTTACCAAGCAAACTTACATGTTTTAGGACCTCATCCTTAAATTTAAAGCTGTTTTTTGCTTGTGGAGTTTCATTGAATTTGATTTTTGCCAGAACAGATTATGTTTTGACATCTTTTGTTGACTCTTCATCAGTTCCCCAATTTCGAGAAGACATGTTTTCTGTGTTCCGCTAGATAATGTTTTGATGCTTGAGTTTATTTTCATTAACTTACAATTCCTATGCTGTTACTAATGAATGCGGGGTATGTATATAACAATTAAACTCAATTCACAATCAAATTTTACATTTCTAAATTTCTAAATATCCCGCACACGATTTTTCGCAAGTATACGGGTCGTGAATGAGTATAGGTATTAAGAGTCGATTCCTCAAGGAAGACGGGCAACTACCGGTACTATTAAAAGTTCTCTATTATTTAGACTATCATTAAATTAAAACAAATAAACTAAACTATAGATGGATAGATACATACAAATAAAGCTCCTTGGGTAATGGAATCTCTACCTATTCATGCTAGTGCAACTCCCTTACCAAATGAGTACCAAAATTTCGGCTAAATTATGACGTAATTTCCTAATATATGTGATACCTGCTTTCGTCGGTATACCAATTATACCTATAGTTAACTCATATCTACTTTCATGGTCATGAAATCAACTACAAGTTCATTAACTTCTATGAAATTACATGGAACAAAACCACAAAAGTCACAAAGTTGTGCCTTTACTTTCGTAAGTGTACTCCATAGGTTTAACACTTCTATGAACTAGTGTCAAATTCTAATTCTCATTGTAAATCTAACATCTTCAAATGATCATAATCAATGGCCAGTTAATCATGATTATAAGAGCAAAAGTGCTAAATAACTCAAACAAGATAATAGTATCAATTGGCCAAGAAATCAACACCAAATAATCATAGAAAGTTCAGCCAAATACCCAAGGTATAAACTTAAAATAACATCACAAATTGCATCAACAAACTTATAGTTCAATACAAAGATAAAAGAAGTGAAGAGAAGAAAACGCTTTGTCACTAGGGCTTCTTGAGCCTCTCTTCTTTATCTCCCTTGGCCTCCTTGTTGAGCCAATACAAGAATGGATAACAATAACTAAATTATCCTACACTAACCTATACTAAAACAAGAGAAAATAAAGAGAGTTAGATTTGTTAAGGGCTTGTGTTGGTTGTTCTTTTTCTTCTCCAAACTCTCTCTCTCTTATCTCAAGTTAACTTGAACTATAACTCTCTAACTACAACCCAAACTAGAAGAACTAGGTAGTATATGTTCTTGGACTTGCACTATTGGAGCCAAAAGGTCAAAAAGAGAAGCTTTTAGAACCTCTAAGTTAGTACAAGTTGTCTCTTTTTGTCTTATCAAAGATAAAGAAAGAAGCAAAAAACATGCAAGTTGGTAACTTGCAACTACCAAGAATCCCTTGCACAAATCCCTCAGGGATTCTCCCAAGGATTGGGCAGAACAAGTCTTTATTTGATTTTCTCTGCGAAATGAAGTTGCTGCCCACAAACCGTAGGAGAAACCGCAGGTGGATTCTTCGAGAGTTTCTTGTATCTTTTATTTTTCTTTTCCTTGCACCACTTCTTTTAGCATTTGTTGTGACTTCTCAAGTTTCTATTCTCGGACATTTCGCTTCCAATTGAGCTCGATCATTTCACCTACCAAACAACGAAATTTTGCGAGTAAAATGACAAAATCATAATTAATTCATTTATCAACTTAAGGTGCAAATTAGTGACCTAAAATAGACAGCTTATACAATTTAATCTTACAAATGACTAAAAAATAATGTGAAACACATTCACAAATATCATAATTTTAGCCATTATCAGTTACTGGCAAGTAACTGTTATATTAATTAGTTCAAATGCTCATTCTGTTCTTACCATTTATCATTTCTGTGTTATGATATAAGTGGTTCATTATTCAGTTGGTGATACAATAGCATGGGTAGGAGATATAGAACTTTATCATATTGGGTACTTAAACCTCCTTCATGTCTTGTAACTCAAGGAATAGGAGGAGTACAAACGTTAGTTTTTCATTTTTGAGTTTTACTGTTTTCTTGTTCTATAGCCTCAAGCTCCATCAACTATGATCTATGAGACCAGCCTTTGAAGTTCTGTCTATGACTAAACATAAAAATTAGAAGAAAAATATGATTTAAAATAGTAATTAAAATGGATCCTGACCATTATTTGAAGCTTCACTTATGCTGCAACAAGATCTGATGTGTGTTCTTCTAGTTTGAAGTAATGCCACTAGATTTTGAACTTATATCATTTGCCCAATAATGAACATGTGTGCTTTCACTTAATTACATAACGACTTTATGGCCTATATAGCCAACGGTTTATGGCCATACTGCCAATTGTTTATTGGCTATATAGGGCAACAATTTTGATCTCTTCTCATTTCTTTGTGTTTTTTTTATTATGTATCTTATGTGTTAATTTCCCTGCAATATGTCCAACCTAGAAATTTAAGAAAAAATCTACCTATCCAGCTGCCTAGAAATCTAAGAAAAAATCTGCCTGTCGAGTTTGAGACAAAGCACATTTGATGTGATTATTTTTACATTATTTGTTAAGAACTAATTTTTGTTTTTTGTTTGCAGACTGGACAAAAGGTGTATTAATGCTATCATTGTCTCTAATAGGACCCTTCCTCCTGTGAGTTTTTTTATCACTACCGGGGTAAATGGTGTCGCTTCCCATTTTTTAGAAAAATAATTTAAGTGTTTTAGAAAAAAATGTATTTTTTGATCAATTTTTATTCAAAAATTAATTTTTTATTTTAGAGAATAAATAAAAAAAGGGCCTAAAATGGGATTTAAAATATGCGACGATTTGGCCCCAAAATAATAGTCTAAAAAGGGTTTTTAAGAAAAAATAAGAGTCGCCACTTGGTATTGAGTTTAGGTGTACCAAGTCACCTAAACTTGTATTTTTAATAAAATAATAGACAAAACCCTTTTTAGACGACTCCGGGTCTTTGAAAATAAAAGAAAATGGTTCGGGAGTCATGGTTGAACAAAAGGAAGACAAGATTTGATCTAAGGCACTTTTTCAACCTAACCAAAGTTAGTTGCGAGATTTAGTTAAAAATTTGCCTATTCTAACCTATAAACTTATCAATTTGGATGTTTCTATATGGATGCAAATCTAGACCTAATGAATATCGAGAGGGTCGAAATGTATCTTCAAAGTTTAATTAGCACAAATCACATTAATTGTGATGCCTAAAATGATTCTTAGAAAGGGTCACGAATATGCAAAAGATGAGATTCGAAGAAAAGAAAAATTGTAATATATAAATATATGTTATCTAAAAGAAAGGAATGCAATATAATGAGTATGGGAAATTAAGATTCGTGACTCAATTTTTCTTCTTATAAGGAAATTAAGGAATGCTATGATTGCATAAGTCGATTGGAGTGAATCTCCTCGACTCTTAAGTGATAAAAGTGGGGACGGCCAATGGGTGGCCTATTAAAATGATAAATGTCTACTTATTAACTGTGAACTACTACCGTTTACTAATTACCGTTTACCGTTAACCATGATTACTTACCGTTTACCGATTTACTTGATTACCTGCTTACTTGATTACTTGATTATCGTAAGTTACATGTTCATATGAAATTACCGCATATTGCTTATGTATTGGCCACCGTTTTAAGGCGAGTGTTAAGTGTTAATGATAATTGCTCATATGAAATTGGCCACCGTTTTAAGGCGAGTGTGTACTTTATCTCTGTGAGAACTCGAGAAAATCAGGTGTGTGCTTTGCATTTATTTTATTTTATTTACCTTGATATTGGAAATGTTACATATAACGAATAAGTGGTTAAATTAAATGTCTAATTGTATTTCTATGAAATCGAGAATTAGAAATATCCTAGATTGGTGTAGAAAAATTTTATGAATCAAATAAACACATGGTATGTATATTGTAAATTGTGTCACTTGCATATAGTACTAGACACGTAGCATATATTATACAGTTGAATAAATTATATGTCTAGTTGATTTTTCTTTAAAACCAAATGTATGAAAATCTCCTAGATTAATGTACGAGAATTTTGTTAGGGTATATAAATTAGAACAAATGAAGTTTGGAGTCAATGCATGAAATAATAAAATCGCACCCCTTAGTGAACAAATAAGTTAATACTAATGACCTAACTAACCCTGAATCTTGGTTAAACTACTATGCAACCTAAGGAAGCCATCTTCTGGAAGATAACCGAGAGCAAAACAAAGAAAAAGAAATTGCTAGTTGGGCGGTGACCGAGAGGAAAGAAACACAAGGCAGCTTTCTTTCTTTCTTTCCAAAAACTTTATCGAGGGAGTGGAACTAAGAGTGAGGGAGAGAAAATTTGGTTAGCTTCATCATCTGCTGATCATAATCAAGAAGAGAAAGGCAAGGAAAATAGGAGGGATAGCTGGTGCAGACCTTGAGGAAACAAAGCTGGGAAAATCTGGTCAGTCTGCAATTTTTAACTCTTAAAGGAAAGAGGTAAATTCTATGTGATCAATACTTATTGATTGAGTATAAATGAATATATATAGATATATAAAAGCTGCAAGATAAGTTTTAGCAGAGGAAATGAGCTTCGATTGAAGAAAAATTCTGGGTTGAGATTAAAATGATTATTTGACTGAAGTTGTAGCAACCGGGAGTTAATTACATGAATTTCAGCTCATTAGCAGTGTAAAAATGGAAAATATAATATAAGAAAAGCATGTAATATGGTTATCTCAGGTATTATAAGAAGTTTAGTTGAAGAAATTTGGGAAAAGTTGGAAATTGGGAGGACCGATGGAAGATCCTTGCTGGAATTTTTCCAGCTTCATCCGAGTGGGGGGGGGGGAATGGAAAAGTTTCAGCTGTCTTTGGTGAATAATGACTCTAAAATTCTGTGGTAATCTGTAATATGCGGTATAACATCTTGATTTCTTCATGCATGAGAGGTTTGAGCATAAAATGGAGGGATCTAGTAGAAGAAACTCGTCTTTAGGCATTACTTGCTGCTACGAACCAGCTTTATAGCTGAGAGAGGATATAAATCTTGGTTCAGCTTTTCTCTTGGATTTTTGGCTATCAATTTCTATGTTTTGCTTAAGATGATCTGTAGTTGAATGATCATCCCCTGCATGTCTAGTTGGAGCATGAAACTGAAAAGAACATTATGAGAAAACACCACATGTTAAACTGCTATACTGCTGCAAATTGTAATTAGTTGATGACAAATTGTTGTGCGTAGCTTTTGGGTTGAATAATTTGTTGAAACTAGATGCTATTTGCCTTGGTATATGCTGGACTGAATGTACTTTAAATATTTAGAGCTTTAAGCAAGTGAAAGAATAGAGTTTTCGTCGAAAGCTTGAAGTAACGTTACTAGTTTTGGTTGCTGACCGAGAAAATGAAACAGATTGTGCTTCTCACCGTCCCTTTTTGGCCTTGAAAACACGATAACTGGATGTCGATGTCTTCAGAAGAAATGCAGGTCTATGTCTTAGTTTCGAAACGCTATAAAATTCGCCTCAATCCGATAAGTGTAGCTCTAGTTGTGATCAAAACATCAGAGGGTGGCAAAGCTGCCTTTCTTGTTGCTTTCCTTTTGTTCCCGGATGCACTTTGCTTTGATAATGGCCGTGAGGAACCAACTTTGAACCAGCATTTCCTCTAATTTCCAACTTTGTAAGCTTTCATAAATGATAGCTACGGTTACCCTGAGATTTATTGGCTATATACAGCTCCACAAGTAGAGTTAAACTAAAGCAAATGAGGGGAAAACTCATGATAATTATGTACCTAAATTGGCTTCTAATTACTTACTATTGTCTTCACAAATATTTTAAAGACTATAAAATTTGAGGGACTGATGTAGTGGAATAAAATTTAACTTACAAATAACCTAGAGTTTAATTAATTAAAAAGGGGACCAATGAAGTACTCCTAAACCGTAACCTTAGAATCTTGAGTGGAAAATGATTTAATCTTAAAATAAATATCTTATAAATTATTAACTTGGGAAAACAGGTATAATTCTTGATTAAAACAATAAAGTCAATGAGTTTCAAAATAAAATGATAAATGAATATTGAATATATTATATTTGTACTTTAAGGTCAAACTAGAATCTGTTTTAGCCTAGACGGAAGAAATGAAACGTTTGCTTGTCTTAATCCTTGCACATTAGATTGGAAATGAGTTAATCTTGGCTCAAGTGTTTTATATGATATTAAAATTTGGTGTATATGTACATTAACCTTGTTTTAAAGCTACCAAACTTAATAATCTTGAAGACAAACGTAAGGAAGGTTGCTAGATTTTGGTGATTCGTTTTATAAGCTTAGGAACTTGGGTTTTAGTTACTTAAACCTTAAATTATGTAAGATGAGTGGTTGCATATAAAATGAATATTCACTTTAGAATTATTAACTTGTACCAGGAAGTAGCCGTGAACCCAGAAACCAACTCGAGACTCGAGAGTAGTCATTTGAATCTTTGGTGAGTGTTTTTCGAATTTATGTGTTAAACTGCTTATGTGTACCTAAGTGCAATTATATGGCAAATGTGCTTATTATGAAATATTGTTAAGTGATTCATTGTGAAGTGTTTTCAATTGTCCCTCACCTTCTAAGTCGAAGGTGTACTTTATCGCACTCGGCTTAATTGAGGTTGAAGGTTGATAATTGATCAAGTGATATTGTAAGTGTGCATGACTGTAAGCCATGTGTATACCTTATCACACTGGCTGAACTGGGCCCCAAAACCCTCTGTTCAATGGACTATTCGAACCAGCAGAGGGCTTGGTCGGGTAGGGCGGTAGCTTTGGGTAAGTGTTTCGGTATACTCGAGTATTACCACGGAGTAGCAGATTACTGATATTGATATGGCCATCCAAGTGAGGGAAGTGTTTATTATTTTGGAGGTTATAAGGAGGAGTTCGGTGGAGTGTGTAGTGCATTGAAGTGGCTCTAATGCGAGCACCGTATCCTTTTAAAAGTGATTGTTTAGTGATGTGCTTCCTCAATTGTTTAATGAGAGTGATTGTACAGTGAAATGTGCACTACTCGCTTAATTGTACTGATTTAAGTGCTTATTGATTGTTATTTGCATGGAAACCTCACGGGCGTAAGCTCACCCTTTTAACTTTGTTTTCCTTACAGGAGTTGGAGATTGAAAAGTGATTGGATGGAATTGGAAAGTTGTTTTGGGAAATTCCATCACTATGCGAATATATTGGAGTCACGTTTTCTTTTGTATTTTAAGATGGTTGAATCTTCTGTTTTGAGTTGATGTAATATTAAGAATGGATGTTTAGAACGTGTATTTTGTTTCTTTTAGTGGACAAATCTATGTTTCAAGCTGATTGGAGTGGTACTTCAGAGTGAATGTTCAGTTGTTCAATGATAATGTTATCTCTGAAGTCAATGTAAGTGAGTGAGTTCTGGCGAGAGTCAGGCAGGCGATCCGCTAACTTCTAGGGTAGGCCCTAGGAGAAGGTGGGGTCGTCACAATCTCACTCGACCTACTAAAATGATAAATTTTTACCGTACACCAATTTACTTGATTACTTGTGCATGTTGTAAGTTCTAGACTGAACTGGATCTTGCCCTTGGTTACTGACCTACTCGAGTCAGGACTGGGCTCGGTCGGGTAGGTTGGAACCCTGCGACACCGTTTCGGTATACTCGAGTACTACCACTGGAGGGATAAGGTGATGGTCAGACAAACCAAGGGGATTCTGAAGTTATAAGGTGCAGTTAACCGAAATGGTTCCACTGAAACACCGTATTCTTCAATGTGTGTTTATTTTACATAATGATAACTGTTTCATGCTAATGTGCTAACGTGCGACCCTGAACCATACCTGTGATATGCTCAAATTACTTGTACAATGATAACTGTCTCATGTTAATGTGCCAATGTGCAACCTTAAATCATACATTGGATATGCTCAAATTATTTGATTTGTTAGAAATGGTAGAGTGTCTTGGAACCTCACTGGGTTGTGTAGCTCATTCCACGTTTTTGTTTTTCTTAACAGGGTTCGAGACCAAAAGTGCTCGTAAATAGTGCTAAATTGTTTTCTTTTGGAGAAAACTTTAAGTTGTATTACAGCAGATGGCTGTAGTAAATATTCCTAGTTTTGAATTATGGATTGTACCGAGTCTTCGTAAGAGTTGGGCAGGCGTTCCGCCGATACCCTTGGGTTTGCCCTTGGGAGAAGTGGGGGCGTCACACCATCGCCATTTGATCTCCGATCTCAATCCTCGGTCCATGTTCTTGCTCGGCCACTGTTTCTCTTTCTTCTCTCGGTTCTTGAGCTCGCTTAGTCCCACGGCCTTGACTAACTCCACGTCCACGATTACGTTTCCCCTCCATACCCTTTTTCTCTTTTTTTTTTTAAAAAAGATGTTTAGTATATAACGAAGTGAATTGACTAAACAACAAGATATAACACATCAAATACACAAGGAGACATATACACAATATAACGCACCTGTGACGCCCCGAAAAAAAATGAGTTTGAGAACCCGGAAATTTTCTAATTTTCTAGGGTTTATTTTTTAAACGCCCGCCTTTTCTACATTTTCTTTCTACATTTTCTTGATTAGAAAAATTTCCCAGATAAAGTTTATGAGCAAAAATAGTTTTAACATGATTTTTCTAGTATCGGTTAGTTTTTGAGAAATTAAAAGCGTATTTTGGACGTGGGACCCGCTAGTGCGGTAAATGCATTATATTTTTGACAACTTGTTGGAATTTTGTATTAAGTGATATTATTTTATAAGGTGTTAAGATATTTGTACTTGGAGAGACACAAAGATAAGTTTTAAACCTAAGGGTGACAAGTGTCACCATAAGATTAAGTCTTGGACTTTGACTTACTATTCAACCTTTTACCATTTACCATAATAACTTCAAAAATTGACCAAAATATCTTCATTTCTAAGCTTCATATGGCCGGCCACCTTCAAGCAATAAGGGAAGAAAAGCTCTCCAATTTCTTTGCTCCAAGTTTGCTTAATCTTCACTTTGAACCGTTTAATTTTAGTTTTACTCCATAAAAACTCTTCTCTTGGTAGGATTAAGGTTCTTGGTGAAGTGATTTGGAAGATTTAAGTGCAAGGTTGCTCCATCTCTTTGGTTACTAAGGTGAGTTGAGAAGGACCCCTCTCCTCCCTCTAATGATGTGTAATTCATGATTGGTGGTTGTATAAGATGCAAATTTATGGATTGAATCTTGATTTTGGTTGAATTGGTGAAGTTTTATAATTATTGGGGATTTTTCTGTTTTAATATGAGTATGATTATGGGGTCATGTATGATGATTGGAAATGATGTTTAATGATTCTAGAAGGTGGAAAAAGTGGAAGATTGCAAGTAAAATCTGTTTTGGAAGAAATCTGGAAAATTAGGGTTCTTGGTTTCTTCATTCTGTCCGAAATATTTGGTCCTATATAGAGGCCGAATTGGCCTTGGCTCAAAACATAAAAGTTGTAGGTATTGATGTGTTTGAGGTGCCTGTAAAATTTCAGGTCATTTGGAGTAGTGTAAAGTGAGATATGTCGATTTTACTGTTGCTGTTCTGGGTTGATCAGAATGTGCGAACTGCGATTGAAATCGTCTGTTTTGACTGGAATTGCTTTGGATTTGGATGTTGGTGTCTTCTGATGAAATGTAGCTTGATGTCTTAGCTACCGTATTCCTTTGGAATCAATGCATTTGGACCTGTATAGACTGAGTTGGACTAATTACAGCATAGTGTAATTTGTACACCTGCAATTACGGTTCTGGTTTGTTATTTGGCATATTTGACTTAGTTGTGCTGGGATTTGGACTGAGTGACCTTCTACATTGTTGTAGCCCTGGTTCTTAGCTTCGAAATGGTGGGTCTTACACCCTAATCCGATAATCGTAGTGCAAGTTGTGCCATTACCGCAAAATGACGTCAAAGCTATTTTTTTCTGGTTTTGAGTTTAACTCTCATTTCCGGACTTTTCCCTAGCTTGACTTGTATTTGTACTACTTGGAGCTTGCTGAATGGCTATTGGATGAACTTGTTGTTGTGTGTGTACCTTTGGGACTGGCTGAGGATATAATGAAGCCATGATGGCTGGAAAAGTTAGCAAATTCAGGGGAAGTGCTGTCCGAACTTTTAAAGGACTTGGTTGCTTTGAGTTTGTGATCTAAGACTTGGATTAGAGCAAGGCAATGTTATTTGATGGATGATTTCTGAGCCATTGAGGTGAGTGACCTCAAACTGTTTCCAAATTTACTTTTGAACCGCTTTCCTGCATTATCTACTTTTGAATTGTTTTCAAAGTTAATTTTGGAACTGTTTTCTTACATATCATGCGTGCTTGCATATCAGTGTCTTGTTATTATTGATTTTGCTTTCAATGATTGTTAAAACGAGTTTTCTAGGCGAGTGTGTACTTTATCGCACTCGACCTTAATAAATATGAAATTTTCAATGATTAGTGATTAAATGCTACTTGCGCATGAATGTAAGCCTCTTGGGCTGAACTGGCCATTGCCCCTTGTTACCGGTCGTCTCGAGCCAGAAGCGGACTCGGTCGGGCGACTAGGAACTTGGGTGAACGTTTCGGTATATTCGAGTATTACCTTGTAGGTTGGTAGAGCCTGGCCAAAAGCCAGGGATGGGGTGAATGAATGCACGAATGAAACCAAATGCAATGAATTGTCAGGAGAACGAATGTATCCTTTTCATGAATGTTACTATCGCTTTCCATTGTAAATGTTTCTTGATTTATTGATACTCCAGATTGAAATGACATTATTGAAATGAACGATTGTGAAACTGATTTGATAACTGCTTTTACTGGTTACTCGCTGAGCTTCTAGCTCACCCCAAAATGTTTTATTCCCCTCCACAGGGCTCAAGGCGAAGGAAGGGCTTGTAGTGTTTATTCATGGATTGTCTCATGTATGGATTGAATTTGGATTTCCTTTTGTGTAACCATTCATATTGGGATTGTCTTGAACGTTTAGAATTGATTGGATTGGATGTGTAATAGGCTAGTTTTGGACTTCCTCCTGTATTAATTGTAATCAAGGATCAGAGTGGCGCTGCGGAAGCGTGGACGCTTCGCTTTTGATATGTATGTAAAGTTTGGGAACCTTTGATGTATATTTGAGATATATATCTTGACATTCAATTGAGGATTGTAGTGAACGACTGAGTCCTGGCGAGAGCTGGGCAGGCGGCCCGCCGAACCCTCTGGTTCGCCTTAGGGGGAAGTGGGGCCGTGACAGCACCATATACACAAAGAGACATTTCAAGTTAGACAAAGTAAAGTGCAGCAAGTACTATACATGTAGGTATTAACATACCACAAGCAAAAGACATGTAATACAATACAAGGGCAAAACAAGAAGAAAACGCGACCTGTCATCCCACACTCAGCTAAAATCACCCCCGTCCGGTCTCTTACTTTACTTTCTATCCGAACTAGACGTCCGTTGACCTCTTGCACTCACTCTAGCCAAATATTAGCCCGTTCATGTTCCCAAAAATGAAAATCTCAAATACTTAGTATTACCCTCAACTCTGGAGTACTCGAGTACAAGAATTCGAAATAAAATAATTCACATCTCGAGTTGGCTAGTTTCAAGAGTAAATTACCTACAATCGACATTCCTACCTGACGTACCTATTTATTGTCCTCAAATACCATGATAACGATTTAAGGCCTACAACAATTCACGATGCATAGCTTATGCTCAAAAGAGCACTTAGTCCTTCATACCTATTCACCACTTGACCCAAGCTCACTCCGCGCAGAGACCACGCGAAGCGGGCTCTGATACTACCTGTGACAGCTCTATCTTCCCCTAAGGCGAACCAAAGGGTTTGGCGGACCGCCTGCCCAACTCTCGCCGGGACTCAAACATACACCTCAAGTAAAAATGAAAATAAGACCACAAGAACAAGTGTAACAATAATTTCAAACTTAAAACATATACTTATATACATTTCAATCTCAAAAGGAATACAACTCAATTATATAAAAGTTCTCAATTCTTCATACATCCAACCCTTGCCAAGCGCTAGGGCGAGAACCATCACAAAAATTCAAAAAAACTAGACTAAGATAGTCTATACAGATCTCTCGTCCTTGCACGCATCCCCTGTTAAGGAAAACAAAACTAACGGAATGAGTTAAAAACTCAGTGAGGTTCCAGACACATAATAAAAACATTAAGTCCAAGGCATAAATCATAGATAACAAATAATCCAAGAAACATTTACAAGATAGAAGCACCAATAACACATTCATTAAAATGATACATGCTCACGT